AATTTTCCATTAATTATAACAACATAATTCAATTAATTAAAGATTGAAACAATTAATAAATCCAAGATGAAAAATCCAATATATCTACCGTTTTTATATATGAAAACTGTCAATGTAATCTAAATAGAATTGGCTGCACACAATTGTATGTAGTTCAGTTTCTCGTTCAAATTTCAACCGTTCGATTTCCAGGTCATGTCACTAAATAAGTAATCTCAATGTGTTATTAAGTCTGTTCACTTTCTCTTCTTTTTACGAATATCGTCAAGTATGTTCAAATATGCTTTGTCCAACAATTCAGTATCCTTCATTAGATTTAATCCATTTTTTTGTTCTTTAATATGTATCATTTCTGATATGTTCCTTTTTTTATAATTACTTTCGAAATCTACAATTTTCACATCCTCCCAATTAAATGTGTGATTATATTCTTTAATATGTTTCGTTATGACCGAATGGTTGGACTGATGAGTGGTTACACATTGATGGTGTTTTTTTACATATATAAACGTAAGATTATATTGGACTGATGAATGGTTACACATTGATGGTGTTTTTTTACATATATAAACGTAAGATTATATTAGTTTTATCTTGAATTTATAAATTATTTTATTGACTAATTGATATATATTTGCTTAGAATATGATAAAAAAATGACGATAAACTGTGTGAATCTCAATGGGTTATTGTGTCGAAAATCATCGGAGTTCTCGATATCCATCGAAGAATTGGATGATTTGGAAACAGTGGAAAAATGCGTTAACTATTAGTTTAAGAATGATGGAAATTGGTACGTCTTTAATAGAATTAATGAGCTGCCTAAGATCATTACAGGGAATTGGGTATATATTAGTGGAGTATAGGCTTGTAATTCTTAATTTTTAATTTTAAATTTTAATTTTTAATTTTTAATTTATTGTTATAAAATACACTGAAGAAGGCTTTGTAAGCTGAAACGGACGTATGTATGCTACAGATTGTAACTATGAGAAGTCATATTATTTTATTAGTATGTCAGTATTGAATTTTATGTGATGAGATTGAAATAAATTTAATAGACAATAATTAGCTCGTTGATAAGCCTTGAGTTGATATACTGTATATTTTCTATATTGTCCCGTTTCATCATGAATATTTAATGTATGACCCATGGTACCCCAAGTAGACATTTAATTATATAATTTAATAGAAAATTATAAAAAATAAATGTTAGATTATTACTTGTGTTACGTCCTGACGACTCCACGATTCTTTTCTTTCGTGGAGAGAACTTATTTCTCAATTGCGAATCACTCGCAGTTCCATGCATGCAATCCCTAAGGTATCAGAGAGTCTATTAGAGAGTCAATAGCGTGACCGATCGAAGATCGATTCTTAACGACGGAATAATTAATATCACCAAATAACTGTTAATTATAATCACACGTGTACGCCTAGTGGCAGTATGACTCATAGAAATATGTGTAATCACTTCTATTTTTAGAAAAGGCTTTCCCAATAATTCAAAGAAAAATCATTAGTCACCCCTATATTTCGAAACAATAATACTCAAAACAGGGTGAATCACCATCGAATCACAAAGTCTAAAGTCCGAAAAACCAGCGTACCTTAGGTACGATATAAAAGAGCCCTTCGCGGGGACAGTAAGACAGTCGAATTTTAACTTAGTCGTTTGCAAGACGAAGTGCTGCCCGAATTAGTATCATTGGTGCGGAGTTCTCGCGATCAAGTCCGTACCACCAGCTGCTGGTCCAATTTCACCATCCCGTCTAAGGGAACCGCTGAGAAGCCAACTCCGACCGCTGATCCTGCGAGGACTCTTCCCACAAGGACTCATTAGACTCTCTCTCTCTCTCCGCCAAAACCGTGAGTAACTACTTCTTCCACGAGAATCTAAAATTCGGAAACACCC